CAAATTTCTAGCGAGTTTCTAGCTATCATAAAGATTATGCGAAATGGAAAAAAAAAAACAAGACTTTTCTAAACGAAAACTAAAAAGGAAAAAACTGATTTGAAAAATTACTTGAACAGAACGACTGTCACCGGGACCCATCAGACCAAAATTGAACTCATTCTTATTCAACGAATAGAGCGTTATCTGAAAAATCGACTTTATTTTTAACATCTGAGAGATCCCCCTATCTAACCCTGACCTTGTAAAAGCAGTGTCTTTGAATGATGTGGTGATGTTTGACACAATCAAAAAAATTTCAAAACGGCTAAAGCCCTTGCCAAGTGTTTTTGCTGAGAAAAATTTGTTCTTAGCTATATTTGTTCATAGTTTCTTTGTTGTGAAATTAATGTGCAACGAAAATCATATGGCTAAAGCGCTAAAATCAACTCATTTCATTTTTAAGCTCAATTTGTAAAAAGTAAAAATCCCAGTAAATCCCAATTTTTGCCTACAGAAACCACTAGTAATCCTAACCCATAGAAACCATCCTTAAATGTTTTTACCATCCCTAAATGTTGCCTTAAGCATTTGCCAATGTTTTCATGTCGAGGATTCGATTCCACTCATGAAACAACCGACCCTTCGAAGACCTGTTGTTTCACTGTTTCGATGCCCAACAGGTACTGGTAAATGCCAAAGAGTCAAATTCGCCATCAGCTTGTTTCTGTGCTTTTCTCGAACGAGAACCGGACATAGGTTTTTAGTTTTGTAAACCAAGCACCAACGTGAAGCTCATGTCTTACGCGTAAAACTCACTACGACATGTAAATCTCAACTTTCACCATACCTTTAATTTTCCATTGAAAATAACAATGGGTATTTTGAATGTTGTAACATTTGTGTAAAGAGTCAAAAATGACTCAAATCCATCCTGCTCTCTCCGCCGATACCTCAAATAGATGGCTGGTTTTGTTTCACCGGAAGCTATTTTTATCACATTTGCAAGCAGTTTCACCTGCAAAAGAAAGAAATTACACAGCAATTAGTTCTAATGGATCAAAAATCGCAGCTCCAATGCATGACTTTTTAATTCGGTTAATCAATATTTGATTTTAAGCCCAAATCCAAGCAATATGTTACTAAGTTGAAAGATTTTTCAGTAATAATCAAACGTGCAACAAACTTCGAAAGATCTCCGTGTCGCCGCATCACCGGTTATATTCCAAATTACAACATCAAATGGAAGCTCGTTGGTTAACGAAACACTGCGAGTTATCGGAGGTTGCAGGAGGCCATAAAATGCGGTCTCCTCGGCTCGTGGTGTTAATGAGCTGAAAATTATTGGACCGAAACGTCTTTTCTCACTCTTGCCTTCTTTTCTTATACTGTTCATGCTTTCTGTATTTAATCGCGCCTTTGCCAGTTCGGATTTCAGGGACAAACTGGATGCTACAATCGGCTTAGGCACAAAAATTTGTTATCGATGCTATAGCCCCACTTAGTACCAATCGAAAAAGGCGATTTCCAAGCTATCAAAAAAAAAAGGACAGCTCACATGAATCGGGCAGGTGGTGGGTAATAATTGAAGGACCAGGATTGCTCTTGCCGTTGCTGGCAGATTTTGCTACTTGGGCTACATTTAAATGCTTTCGCCTCAAATAAAAATTAAACTACAGAAACAGTTTTGTAGTTTTTACTTTAACTATACGTATAAGGTTTAATTAATTTTACTTTAAAGACCGAAGAACTTGCGCGGCGCAGGTGTGGAGCTACGGAGGGCAAACACCCAAACTAATAAACAATCCTTTGCTAGTGAAGAAACATAGGTCCCAAAAAAAATGTGTACGGCAGCAGTTTCAAGCTAAAAAAAATCAACACTTCATTTCTAATCACCACATTAGATATCACGAAGGGGGAACTCAAGTTAGGAGACGGGACATTTGCATATCACATAGAATCGAAGGGCAATTGGGCAAGGCGAAGGGATTTAGCCGGCAGCTTCGTTTCCGTGCCACTAGCACTTTGTTTCTTCCGTAGCTTTACCACAGATGTGTTTTAATCTATTATAATCCACTAATATGCATTTTAATGTGTATTTTAGATATATTTTGAATTATCAATTTTACTTCACAAATATAATTTCAATTTTACAATAGACATATTTTTGCTTTAAAAAAATAAAATTTACCCGTGGTAGACCAGTGCCGTATATGGTACAGTGACATTGTACGTACCACCGCGACTTTCCGCAACAATTCTGCCTTTGTACCGCTCCAATTTTGATCCATTTTTGCGCGGACGTAATACTTTTGAATCGAAAAAAACTTTTGCTATGGCAAATAATTTACCTATAAAAAATCAAATTTTTTTTTTAATCTGATAAAAGTATGTTAAAAAGGGATGATAACCAGCACATGGGTGGATCCAGGGGGCAACGAGGGGCGAAAAGTCTTTCGTCCTCCCTCCTCCCCGTCCCCCCTACCCCCGCCTCCTCCCAAACGATACAGGTACCAGTGCTGGAGAAACCTGGGTCTGCTGAT